CGCTGTGGGACGGTCCCGCGGCGCTGCCCGCTCCGGGACACGGCTCTCCCCGCGGGGCCGGGGAACCGCAGCCGGGAACAGGAAACGACCTCGGCACCAGGCGCTTCCCCGGGTTATTTGTGGACAGGGCATGAGGCTGCAGGAGGAGGAGGAGGGTGCGTGGGGTGGATTTCCAGCTCGGGGAATATTTCTGCGCGAGGGCTGGGACAGAGCAAACACGGAAAACCCTGCGGCGCCCCCGCGCCGGGCTGGCGCCAGTGCCCGTTCCGGTGGGTCGGGCGGGCGCCAGCAAGCGCTGAAGAAGGCGTCAAGTTGCTTCTGTTTAGCGTGGTAGGGAGAAGTGGATGGTGGTGCAATCCAAGGAAATGGTCTTTCTAGAACACTCAATGCCTATAGGGATGCACCTGTCAATGTTGCTTCAGGGGATGTGGCAGCAGGGAAGAGCAGGAGCCTTCACGGGCAGCAGACAGTCCTCTCTCTCTGTAGGTGGTTGTACTCTTAATAGTGCACACTGCTGGCACCTTCCTTCCATTGTTAATTCAGTGACAGCAGCTTTTCATGCAGAACTAATAATTAGCTGAGCTTTTCCATCACCACTCACCTGCCTGCATAGTCACCTTAATTTTAAAGCAAATTTGCAGTTGCAGGATGTACAAACGCAGGAGCTACATTGTTCACTGAGGAAAGCGGATATTGCTTCTCTGAACGCAGTGAAGTGACAGCCATAAACAACGGGGTGGGATTCGAGCCCAGGTGTGAAGCCTGGGCTGTGCATCAGATTAAGGTTTTCACCCTTGCCAGTGGTTATGCCTTTTCCTGTGTATTAATTGATTATTTATGTTTTTATCTAGATCCAGAGTGGGCTTCTTACAAACTTGGAATATTCATTTGTTTGAATTGCTCTGGAATTCATCGCAATCTTCCTGAAATCAGCAGGGTCAAATCCCTTCGGCTTGACTTCTGGGAGAGCAGTTTAATAGAGGTACAGAGGAAAAAGCAGTAATTCTCCACATTTCATAACCTCCTCTGCCATGCAATTCCTATGCCATCCACCATGGACAGTGCAACAGAGACACACAGAGCCAAGTTAACTGCATGGACAACTTCAGGGGTTTTTTATGACCTGCTCAATCAAATTACACTGATAGGTGACTATGTTCCTAATGGTCTGTAGTGTGTATTTTTATATACACAGTAACTTTTCACTGTGGTTTAGAAACCCACAAATACTTCCCAGTAGTATGTTAAGAAAGCAGTGTAATCTTAAATAACGATTCAGCCTCTCAGAATTCAGTTGAATTGTGTTAATAATACAATCACAGTTAACATCTGGGAGAAGATGAAGGAATAGGGACATCACAAACAAATTTTCTCCTAATTTTCTTTTTTTCTTTTCATCAACAACCACAGTTTTGTATTCCTTCACACATGGTTCACAACTGTAAATACTGAAAAAGGTGTATCCACCTAAAAATAGCAAACTGTAATGCCAAAGGGAATTTATAAATTTATAGAAATAGACACTGAGAGTAAATGCAAAACTCAGCAAAAAGCGCTCCCTTTGATACAAGTCCCATTTTATGTTCATGATATGGTGGTGGTTTGCAGTGGCACACCTAACTGTAATTTATTTTGTATTTCAGTTTATGAAGAACCACGGGAATCTCTGGGCCAAAGCTAAATATGAGGCAAAGGTCCCTCCGTACTATTACATCCCCAAGTCCTGTGACTGCATGTAAGTTGATGGTGTATTCACTGCTGCAGACCTTTACATCTGTTTCCTTTACAGGTCTCCCTGGCTGGCTGGTGAAACTAGAGTAGACAGATCAGCTTTATCCATGTTTTCCTCTTTCAGGGTTTTAAGACAGCAGTGGATTAGTGCTAAATATGAGCGTGGGGAATTTCTTGACACCCAAGTCTGCCAAGATCCCTGTTCTGCAGGTAAAAGGATTGTCAGGGAGGTCTCAGCCTCAAGGCCAACAGCACAATGTTCTGTTGGCAGTTTGGAGATCTGTGAGGTGGGCTTGTCACATTTGAACTGCTGGATGTGCAGTCGCTGGTTTGAGAAGAAACTTCTAAGAAAAGGCACTTAAAAGTGTAAGGGTATATTCAGATCTTACTGTTCTCTATTTCTCCACTGATTTTTTCATATGAGGGAAAAATTCTCAGATGGAGAAGAGACTTGAAACTGTGCCACATCACCCTTAGCTCAATAGTTCTGCCCTTGTGCCACCCTTCTCTGACACTTACCTGTCTGGTCTGCAGGCAGCCGTGAAGGATGCCTCTGGAAGCTTGGGAAGGGACGCAGACAGTTCCAGAAGAGGCAATTTCTCCTGTCAGCAAAGGAAGGGGTGATGAAGTACTATGGCAAAGAAGTGAGTTCTTCAGCCAGAGCTGACCATAGGTAGCAGGTCAACACCCACCCTCAGACCTTGCTCTTTGTGGGCAAAACCCAGCACAGGTAGCTTTATCTCTAGTTCTACAGCCAGCCTCTACTTTGAGGAGTCCACGTTTCCCCATTAACTTACGTGGTATATTGGGCAATTTTGGATTTAGTTCTTTTGCTCATCCCTTATCTCAACCCTGCAGCCTCCTTTTGCTTAGTGAACGAAGGAAATGCTATTCAACTGGCAGAATAGCCAATACTTGAATAGCAAGACTAAGACGAGATCTGCTGGAAGTTGTTGCCTCTTACATTACCAAAAATATCCTCTCATCAGCTCCTGCAGCAGGGTCCTCAACACAACTCCTTTCTGTGAGAGACTGTAGCTAATTGTTCTCTAACGAGGAGGCTGGAGATAGACCCATCCCTTACAATGCAGACCCAGCCCTCTTTAACAGTGACCCAGCATTAGTCAAGGAATCTTTGTAAGTGGTTTTATGTTGCACGTAATCAAGGCTTTATGTTTCAGGTATATCCAATATTCAGATACTTTAGGATGTCTGCTTTCTATTCAGCAGAGGTCTAGGTCTCATACAGCTGATCTGTCCTGCAATGCATTCCCTGAGAGCACTTTAATACAGTGATGCTTTTCATTACACAGTCCAAAGGTCCAAAAGCTGTTATCAGCGTTGAGACTCTGAATGCAATGTTCCAGGTGGAGAAAATAGGACACAGTCATGGTCTGCAGATCACATACATCACAGATGGTCAAACAAGGAACCTGTTCGTCTATCACGAAAGTGCAAAGGTGAATATAACGGAGATTCTGGAGGAAGCAAGTTGCTTAGATGTTGGATTTGTATTTTGGAAGAGTTCCTGTGTCTGCAAGATCTGGTTTTACTTGGCATCACTAAGACTTGTAGACTATAGGAGGCTGCAGAATTTGATACTCCTAACTGTAGCATCTTGCTCCTTTTCTGTTATTCTGTTATTCTGATATTCAACCTCACCCTTTGGATAATCTTAAGTGGTGCATGGATGTAAATCTGTGTAAGGTAGCTGCCTCATTGTTTTACACAATTTCATTAAATTCTTCATATGCATACAGAATATTGTTCTACATTGCTTCCAAGCCAATAACGATAATTTTAAAATAATTTCTTTAAGTATCTCTGTAAATATTGTTAAATTTCTGTTTCTTCCTTCAACAGAGTTCTTGTGTCTTTCCAGGTACAGAGGTTTTTAAACAACCCATAACTGAATCAACTGAAAAAAACTTGTGTATACAGACTTGGGTGACTGTCCATGCTGAGAATGTCTTGGACCTCCCAGGAGGGGCATTCTTAAATTATTTTCAAGGATCAATGTTTTTCAGGTGTCTGGGACAAATCACTGACTCTCTCTGCCCCTTGGGGAGAAAGTAGTTCTTCACAAAGAGGTCACAAGAAAGGAGAAGGGCATTTTGGAGAAGCAAAACTACTCTTACTCTTCTTGTTAATCTTTATGTTTGTGTTTGCTGTTTTCCCAGGAGATTGTTGACTGGTTCAATGCTATTCGGGCAGCACGTTACCATTATCTCAGAACCACCTTCCCAAATGTCCCTGAGACTGAGGTGAGAACTGAACAGAGCTTGAAGCAGTCTAGCCAAATATAGCATGGGAGAACATTTTCTCACTTCTTCTGACAGAGTCAAGTGCTCAAAAAGCAGCACTTAGGTCCAGGGAATGGACAGAAGAGGTAGGAGGAAGAGCCACACTGAATAACAGCATTTAAGGCCTTAAAGTCTCCATGTGATCCTTATACAATGTAGTCTGTCAAAAATGTTATGTTTCTTCTCACTTCAGTCTTCCTTTACCAAGCAGCCAAAAAAATCCCAGACCCCAAAAGCCACAATTGATGGTGATTAACTTTGACAAAAACAGAACAGAAATGGAGTCTTGAATGAGACAGCCTGTCCTGGTTTCGGTTGGGACAGACACAGATTTTTTTGTGTTTGTGTTCTCCTAGCTCATACCCAGGATCACAAGAAGTTTTGTCAAAGAAGGATATATGGAGAAAACAGGACCAAAAGTAAGTGCATACGTGGCATTACACAAACAGGATCATTCCAGATCGAGAATATTTGGTAGTTCAATGATGCTGACTCATAAAAGATTTGCTCAGTGACTCTCTGCTTCCTGGGTTGATAAAAGACATTTTATTCAAGCCTGTCATGTTATTTGGGACCATGTTTTATTTTGTGTGAAAAATAGATTGGGGAAAAGAATCATCAAAGAGTAAGCAAGGTGAATTAGCTGTCAATGGACGTGCAAAGTGCTATTACACAACACCCCATGGATTGCTGTATCTGCTAACTGCAGCTCCTGCTACAGCAGAACATGACGTGCTGACCCCCCTACTTCTCTGTTTCACTTGGAGTCAGTTGCACGTAGGTGACATCTACTTAGAGCAACAAAGTGTCATTTGAACAAATTTCTCTGCAGTGAAGCCAGTAGTTTGGTTTGTTTTATTGTGGGAAGTGTTTGGGCCAGTACTCTTGGAACAGAAGAGCGAGGTTTTGGGCACTGCTGAAAGAGGAGATAAAGATCTGAGGTCTTGTTTGAACACAGCCACTTCTTGCCTCTGAGTGAACCATGAGCCAAGTGCCATTATAAAGTTCAGTGGTGCAATGCTGATTATGCTGGGTTTTGGCCCAGCTTGTGCCAGCATTCCAGCACCCCTTCTGCAGGTACTTGTACAGAGCATGAAAGATTTTGTGGGTTTTTTTCCTGAGGCCTAAATTCTGCTTGAACTGAGGTGAGTCCTAGAAGAGGCCTCTCCAGTTCAGCCTGGAGCTGGTCAGCCAGGAATGGTCAGGTAAGTGTAGCTGGTGGAATTAGTACTTAAAAAAACCAACTAGTATTATACACCCAAAATTCCAGGGACAACCTCCCTGATCAGATTGTTGAAATTGATTGTTCACTCTCTTCCCTATCACCACTGGCTCAGGGGTTGTTCTCTGCAGTTCTTTCAGTCCATTTCATGCAACTTCCTTATTCCTGTTAATTTGATTACTTCCCTGCTCAAAGGATTGTCATTGAATGTAAATTGAGCCCAGGGGGAAGAGAGAGCTGAGGGCTGCACACAGCATCCCCAGTTGCAGGGATGAAGGAAACTGAACTCCAGCTCCAAGTCATTTAAGTGGTCCTGGGATTTGAATAGATCAAAGTCCACTTTGAGACTTGGGTCTTTAAAGAATTTCTACCATTTCCTTGCAGCAGAAGGAGGCCTTTAAGGTACGCTGGTTCTCCTTGGATTCTCAAGAAAGGAACCTGATGTACTTTAAAAATCCACTGGTAAGAGGAGTGTTCTCTGTTCCACAGCCCTTTCATGAAGTGGGTGGGGAGGAAGGGTCTGTTCTCATCCACCTTTTCCAGTGGCTGTGCCAGAATGGAGGAGGCCCAGCCTCAAGAGCTCATTTCCCTTGCCACAATATGTCTCTGAAGCTGAACTGGTTGGGAACTCTGGCCTGTACAGTGGCTGTGAGGAAGATCTTTTAAAAGTAACTGCTACTGCCTGTGGTGTTCATGCCCCCTCTGCCCCAGCCCAAGTGCCTCTGTCTCTATAACCTTAGCCAAGATGAGCAATATTCCAATATCAGGGGCTTGACAGCCTCAGTATCCTGCTTCCCAGCACTGCTTTAGCCATGGGAATGTCCTTCCCTGCCCCTTCTGAACAAGTACCAACCAGTTCTATAAGGGTGGGCCCCTACCTTCTCCTCTTGAGAATACCTGTGAGTGCAGAATAACCCTTTTGTGTGTTCCCTGCTGGTGTCACAAGTCCATGTGATCATTCCTCTCCCATCCACAGATCCTGTTCCATGCCTGGATAGAGCAGAGTCTGCTGGAGCTCCGCTGTCTCCTGGCTAATTGCTGTCTTCTGCTTCCTTCTTTTCAGGATGCATTTGCACAGGGCCAGGTTTTCATTGGAAGGAGGGATGAGGGGTATGAAGTACGAGATGACTTGCCCCAGAAAGTCTGTGTGAAGAAGAAAAAACCAGTGATCACTCTGGTCACGCCAGCAAGAGAGTTTGTGTTTCTCTGTGAGAATGACAGCAAGCAGAGGGAGTGGATGGATGCCTTGAATAGAATCATCACCCAACCCTGATGTCCACAGGGAGGAGCAGGCAGGCAGCTACATTCCACCTGGCTGCAGCTTCTGGCCACATAGGGACAGGGTTGTTTTCAACAGAGTGGGGTGAATGTTTTTTACAGCACTACATTTCTGGCACAATAAAAAAAAACAAGCCAAGTTTAAATTGTGGAGGATACTGTAATGGAATCACTTCTGTAATGGAATCACACAGATGCTCCTAGCTCCTTGCTTTCAACAGTCTCTACTGTTTGGCTTTTATGTGAGTGGCAAATCCCACATCCAATGATTTTTTTCCAAAGCACAATCCCACACGGTGCCCCAGGGAACACATCAAGAGTACAGGATGAACAGACACTGATCTGTCTCAGTGAACAGATGAAGCTTAATGAGCTTGATTAGACTGAACACTGAAAGGCAGAAACAAGTTTTAAAAGTATTTTCTTCTGTGATTTGCTTGCAAACACTCCATGGATGAACACCGGTGTTCAGTGTTGGAGGGAAGCCTTCTCATCAGATACCAGTGTGTGCAGGAACTGATGGAGATTGCACTGGCTGACACAGAGCACTGAGTGTTTCCATTCCTCAAGACAAAGTCTGAGATCTGGTTCTACCAAGCAGCAAGTCATTCACACATTTAATTCTTCTTTACAGATAGCTTTAGTTTGCAAATCAAGAGGAAGTCTTGCAGACCAAGTTTCTGGTGAGGCTTCCACCTTCTGCTGACAATTGCCAGCTGGTCTTGAGATACTAAAAATAGTTCTTTTTTTGCAGAAATGAGAAGTGCCAATACTTGCAGGAATTAGTGACACTAATTCTTCTTTTTCCCCACTTCCACTATTACTGTGAATTATTACTGTGAATTATATTACTCCAATATTACTGTGCCCAATACTGTGAAGAAATTGTTAGAGTTGGCTCATTATTCTGCCCTTCTCAGCCAGCTCATTGTCCAGCTCTGAGCAATGTGCAGCAGTTTTACTTGTTGATATGCTCCCATCAATTTCCCTGTGTTCCAGGCTCTGTCCCCACACAATCCCATTCGTTCTAACTCACAGGGTGGTTTCAGCAATCCTGTTAAACAGCCTAATCCTGTAGCTCCTGAAATCAACAGAAAGCAGCTCTTGACTTGTACAAGGAACAATGTCAGTCTTAATTTGTAAATTGTTGTTTTGAGATGACCTGAGTAGTTTGGGATGACCTCAGTAGCGTTTCATCCTTCCAGTAGCCTGGACTTAATCAGACAGGGTCTGCATTGTGCTGAGCTGTGCCATTGCTCTCCCGGCTGGGTCAGCAGACTGCCCATGTCAGCAATTCTCACTGTTACAAAATCGGGAAATTCAGGGTGGAAATGAAATAGTGCAGATAACGGGGACTTTTTTGGACAGTCAGTGAAAGTCAAGGCCAGGCCATAGAGAGTTCTGCGTCACAGTCTATTTCCACCGGCAACTCAAATCCTGCGACCAAGGCACGTGAGAAGAGCAGAGAACAGAGCAGAGCGGGGCGGAACCGGCGCGGCCCGGGGCGTTCTCGGCACCGGAGGAGGCGCCCGGGGAAATCGAAACTGTGCCCCGGGCCGGGCCATGGCCGCCGTCATCGAGCTCGAGCGGCTGCAGCGCGTCCTGGAGCTGCATTGCTCGTGCTGCCTGCAGCTCTTCGCGGAGCCGGTGCGGCTCACGGGCTGCGGCCACAGCTTCTGCCGGGGCTGCATCCTCCGCTACTGCGCGGGGCGGCCCCGCGCCGCCTGCCCGCTCTGCCGCCGCGCC